TTCGACTCGCACCTGTTCTACTCTGCACACCTCCCGGCCGTTGCCTCAAAGTCAAAGGCTGCCCAACACGTACACTTCCAGAGAAAGGTTGCACCTTTGTTGGACTCTAGCGGCCCGCACGGCAGTCTACAAAGGCTTCGTACCGCCAACAATGGAATACTGCTGCCTGGTGTGGATGGGGTCATGCACTTCCCGGCTGGACAAAATACAGCTCAAGGTACTGAAGGTGACAGGCGCCTGGCTCCCCAGCCTGAAACACCGCCGACTGGTTGCTGCGCTTTCGTTCACTTTCAAGCTGTCCTACCTTCCAACAACAAGCCCCCTGAAGCTCATCCTCCCACCTCCAGCTCCAGCCAACTCCCGCCCAGTGGGTGGTCGATCCACTAGGTTAGCCACGGGGACTGCCCACTGCCACCCGCTCCAGCTCTAGTCGACGCTGTCCGTGCGCAGTCGTAGCAGCCTCCAGGGTTCCTACCCAGACTGCATCATTCCCTTGTGGAACAGCCTACCAGCGACCATTCTACCAGCACGGCCGCAACCCAGACAGCTCCAATCCTTCAAGGTAAAATGCAACAAGTATCGGCTGCACCTGAACTGGCAAGCAGCCACCGACGCCCTATGAAACGGTTTAGACCAGCGCTCCACTAGCATCCTCCCTCCTCCCCCCCCTTACCGCAATGTGACGTTATATTTCACTCTGTTTCTCTCACGACCCATTGTCCTCGTTCCTCACTATTATTCATTTCCCCTCTTCCTCCTCTCTTCATGGTTTTACTGCATTATGGCGCGCTTTGTCTGCGTAGACGCCGAGACCTTTGAGGTCGGCAAAGCAGCCTGGCCCCGCCACCACTTCTCGCACATACCGTACTGGCAATATAATGTTGCCGCGTAACGCGTAACGCAGGGGGGGGGGGGTGCGGCGTAACGCGCGACCAGGCTAGTGCGACAAATTTTCGTTGAGTTCGTATCGCGCGTCCGGCGGGGTGCGGCGATCTTTTCATTGCAGTTTGTACTGCAAAAAAAATGCTGAAAACTGTGAAAGCACGTGTACCGCGTGGTGAAAAGTTCAAAACTGGACGCAGCAGGAAGTCCTGACACTCGAAGGCGCATCATTCAGTGGTTGGCGATCTCAATGGATTCTTCTTTCCCGAGGTCGTTTTGCGAAGAAGAGCGATGACGACTCCAGCAGCAGTGATGACTCGAGCAGCGATGACGACTCCAGCAGCAGTGATGGCTCGAGCAGCGATGACGACTCCAGCAGCAGTGATGACTAATGATAGCCATGGTGACTATGTAATATGTTGTACACTCATTAACTGTGTGAGTGACAGTAGTTTTTGGAGGAAGCGCTCTTCCCCTATGTCACTTTGGTTGGTTGGTTGGTTGGTTTTTATTTCACTTCGCACATTCAAACGGGATGACGACCCAATAAAATGACGGCGAAGGCTTAGCCTAGAAGTGGCTATGGAAGAACATAGTAAAAGCTATGGAAGCACATAGTAAGAGAATAGGATACTAATAACTGCGGCTTTTCCTTTTGAAACTCGGGTATTGAGCCAATCATAAAAGTAGAAAGGAAAAGGACATATGGAAACGAGTTAAGAGTAACTCTCCACCACTGTAACTAGATACTATATATTGTTGCCCTTTCTGACTGTATATAGTATCTAGTTACAGTGGTGGAGAGTTACTCTTAACTCGTTTCCATATGTCCTTTTCCTTTCTACTGTTTTTTCCTTTTGATGATCTTTTTGTGAACAGATCACTCTGATAGTTAAAATATACAGTCTTCTATTGATATCGTTGTCGCCCTTTGCCGTCGGGTTTGTAACAGTTGGATTGCAACTGAATTTCTGTGCCTTCAATGTGGATGAAAAGAAAAAATGATGCGGCAAAAGCAAAAAAAATGATGCGGCAATAGCAAAAAGTGATGCGGCAATAGCAAAAAAAGGACTGCGGCAATATAGAAACCTGTGTAACGGCTCCTGTGCGACTTTGCATGTAACGCCCTGCGTGCGGCAAACATCTGCCAATGTAACGCTTCATGGCCTCACTGCGGCAACATATTGCCAGTACGGTATTCGGGAATACATGTACAGTGCACTTTCGTATAAAAATAAATAGATAAAAACAATTAAAAAAAACAACTTGTTAAGTGGCTATTTTAGCGGCGGAAGATTCTGACTGAAGGCGCAGGCAACATCAGTGTACGTGTTCAACGGGTATGGCGGCGTAGTTTGGCTGGGTGCGACGGGCTGGCAGGACAGTAGACATGCAGAACCATCCATTATTGTTTTCAAGAATGAGCTTCGCAAACTCACTTGCAAGCATAGTGCTTCGTTCTCCGGTATGCCTACGCCATATACATACCCCCCCCCCCCCCACACACACAAACGGTGCAGGCCGACCGTCGAAAATAGCGTGAACGGTAAAAATGCTCACAATGTCTAGTGATTGCCTCAGGGGAGTCAGGGGCCTCTGGGTCTGCCAGTTGGCTTCGTCGTTCGTTCCCCGTCACGTCACTAGTATGGGACAAGTACAGTCAGCCGCAGTATCTTTAGCTTTGTATCTTTGTTTTTGTGGCACATGCAATAATTACGAAGTAGTGGTTGCGACTTCGGCGATGATTTGTAAGAAAAGGTTTGCTCCCCACACCGGAGCTCGCGCTATTCCGCCGACTTTTCTTGACACTTGACTGACTCACGACTGCCATCCAGAGCACACGAGAAGTCCATCGAACCTTCGACTCGGCAAACCTGCAAGAAGCTTTCTAGCTTCTAGCTTCTTGCAGGTTTGCCGAGTCGAAGGTTCGATGGACTTCTCGTGTGCTCTGGATGGCAGTCGTGAGTCAGTCAAGTGTCAAGAAAAGTCGGCGGAATAGCGCGAGCTCCGGTGTGGGGAGCAAACCTTTTCTTACAAATCATCGCCGAAGTCGCAACCACTACTTCGTACTGTTGTGCCCAGCGCGGGCTTGCGACTAGTTGGTTTGGAGGTGACAGCGTTGCGAATGACCGAGGGTCCTCGACGTCTGTCTCACCGTCCAGGAGCGACACTGACTCACGCTGCTATCTGGTGTTCACGAGGTGTTTGTCGCGCTGGAAGCGGAGCGTCTCTGTAAGTTTGTATCCCTGGTGATGTTTGTGCCTGGAGAGCACTATATAAGTGGTGCTCTTCAGGCACAATCTTCCTCAGCCTACTCAAGCTCAACTGATGAGGGGTGAATTCCCCGAAACACTGTGTATTGAGCAGGGAGTGGTGCTTTCTTGCAGGTTTGCCGAGTCGAAGGTTCGATGGACTTCTCGTGTGCTCTGGATGGCAGTCGTGAGTCAGTCAAGTGTCAAGAAAAGTCGGCGGAATAGCGCGAGCTCCGGTGTGGGGAGCAAACCTTTTCATGCAATAATTAGCTTACTTTTCTGGTGTTAGACTGACTGCTGTTTTTTTGCGCCCCCCCCCCCTTTTCACACGTGCTACATGTTCCTGTCCCAGCCTGTCCATCACTTGACCTTTTTATCAGTTTTGTCACTTTTGTTACCTAGTCTTAGGTGTGCCACGTTTCTATGCAGAATGAGCGCAATTGCGCCAATTTAGCCTTATGAAGATCAGTCTATTCTTATTATTCTTTCATTCAACATCATAATGCCTGCACTGACGAGCTCAGGAGGAGCGAAACAGCTGTCTGGAGGGTCATTGTCAATATCAATCTATAATACCGGAATTGTCCGCGCTGTGGTGATGGTGATGTGAGTGCAGAGTTTGGATCGGCCAAGAGCGCAATGTGGTGGTGTGGTGTATTGGATTCCATAATGGCCGGGTCGTCGCTGCTCCTTCTTAAAAACCAACTGTTGAACAAAAAGCAACAACGACAACTGTTGAACAAAAAGCAACAACGACAACTGTTGAACAAAAAGCAACAACGACAACTGTTGAACAAAAAGCAACAACGACAACTGTTGAACAAAAAGCAACAACGACAACTGTTGAACAAAAAGCAACAACGACAACTGTTGAACACAAAGCAACAACGACAACTTTTGAACAAAAAGGCAAAACGACAACTGTTGAACACAAAGCAACAACGACAACTGTTGAACACAAAGCAACAACGACAACTGTTGAACAAAAGCAACAACGACAACTGTTGAACAAAAAGCAACAACGACAACTGCTGAACAAAAAGCAACAACGACAACTGCTGAACAAAAAGCAAGAACGACAACTGTTGAACAAACAGCAACAACGACAACTGTTAAACTAAAAGCAACAACAACAACTGTCGAACAAACAGCAACAACGACAACTGTTGAACACAAAGCAACAACGACAACTGTTGAACAAAAGCAACAACGACAACTGTTGAACAAAAAGCAACAACGACAACTGCTGAACCAAATGCAAGAACGACAACTGCTGAACAAAAAGCAAGAACGACAACTGTTGAACAAACAGCAACAACGACAACTATTGCATACAAAGCAAAAACGGCAACAGTTGAACAAAAAGAAAGAACGACAACTGTTGAACAACAACAAAGACAACTGTCGAACAAAACACAACAACGACAACTGGAAACTCTAAAACAACGAACACGACACCTGTTGAACATGAAGACCCCCAACTGTTGATCAACCACGTAACCATGGTAACTGTTGATCAACCACGTGATAACTTTTACATTGTTCACACTTATTGGCGATGGTGCCATCGTGAGAATAAGGAATTAAAAAACAGTTGGACAACAACAGCAGCTGCAGCAACAACAACAACAACAACAACAACAACAACAACAACGACACCGGTTGAACAAAAATCAACAACGACAACTGTTGAACAACAACAACAATCACAACTCTGGAAAAACAACACGTCAGCACAGCAAGACGATCTACGTACTGGTATTGCTGTGGCGAGCGAAATCCAAACCCTTACCGGCCTTGCACCACCAATATCCCACAGGCATCCTTTACCATGGGGACATTAGAATTACACACATGGGTAGAGAGTGAAATGACTATAAATCCTCAAAATTTATAATAGCTTTATCTTTGATATTCCACTGCAAAGTGCTCAGCAGCCTTGAAGCTAAGCAAGTATCGACATCAGTTGAAGTAAACTAATGGTGGCAGCTGTGTGCCAAGCAAGAAGAAAACAAAAAGGTATTTTGACTAATCTTTTGGGGTAGCTTAGAGATGATTTCGAAGCGGCGAAAATGTAAGGGTGTGTGGGAAGCGAAACGCTAAAATAGTCAGTCCAGCCTCCGCATAGGGACCAAGCGCAAATATATTATGTATTATCTAGATAATCAATCTGCGGAGAGAACGGTTTCGTCCGTTTAGGACTCGTCAGCGCAGCGCAGGGAAAACCACACTTCGAACACATAGATATGTAACAATAGTGTCATCAGATGGATAACCCTTCTGGATAATGTGTTACGTGTTTAGAGCAGTCATCCCATGACCAACATCAGCAACATACTCAAAACCTAATTAATTACACAACATCTCTCTAGAATTCTAGCTTCGGAATCTGCTTGGATACGCCCTGGAGCTTCATGTCAGAGCTAACAAGTGCGCGGGAGGGTGGGGGGGGGGGTGGAAGCCTTCACAACTCAAATACTACATCCGTAAATATGAATAATTACTGCACAGAATAGAGATAGGAAAATCTCCTCGCCTATGTGTAGGTTCAATACTCTGAAGACGTAACAGAAAGCTCCACAGGCAGCGGAAGGTCTCCAGACTCTCCACCACATCGATCTCAACACGCCCAGTGTCCGTTGCTCAGGGCACTGAGCACAGCCTCAGAGTCCAATGTCCAAATGCGTGGCATGGCTGGCCAGCCGACCAGTCCACGGTTAGCTATCGCTACCGTACGGGCTGGCTAGTGATGCGCTGCGGCGGCTGCTTGCTCCTGTTCAAAGTGGGCTTCTGAGGCTTGGGAGGCGGCGTCGCCGCCGCCGCTGCTGTGGTCGCCTGTGCACAGGGAGAAGGGGATTCCCAAATGCATTAGTTACCAGCACTATAAACTTGCATACATCAAGAATCTTTACCATGGAGAAACAAATGAGCGACTTCTCTTCAGCTCACGGAATGATTCACGGTTTGTCCAGTCCACATGTTTCCCAAATCCTAAATCCCAACAATTCTTTGCAACTTTTCCTCAAAGTAATGAAAACCGAATATTTTCTCTTTGCGATAATGCACACATTGCTCTCTGATACCATGCTTACCTTAGCTTGCGAATGGACAGTGAGTGACCTGCTCTTTGCCGTAAAGGCTGGTCCAGGTGACACTGGAGATGCGGTGGGAGTCACAGAAGCGGACGTCGTCGTCGTCTTGGACGTCACCGCCCGTGCTCTGCCGTTGCTCGGCTGCGAGAGCTGGCGACGCACTGCCGCGGTGGCGTTGGGCTGCGGGACCGTTGTCACGACGCCTGCCGATGCTTCCTCTTGTTGGTGCCTCTCGGCATTGCGTGCCAGGCGATAGTTTCGCTTCTCCAGGTCATCGAGTTGGTGCTGTGTACGCAGCTCAGCAGCATTCATATCTTCATCAAGAACAGGAGCAAAGCAGGAATGTACAGAACTGGGTTTATAGCAACGCTGTGATGTCAGCAGGGGTTTCCCCGCCAGCAGTCAGGCAGCGCAATCTGTATACTGCATGACATGGAGCAGGACAGCTGATGCTTGTTTGTGCCGTGACCTGAAAATCATAAATACACCTGTTACACAATCATCAGCGATTTTTCTGGCACTGGACCTTGTGTGTGAAGATAGCAACTAATCGTAGAGGGAATGGGGCATAGAGAGTTGCCATGCCATGATGCAAGAGTACATGAAAACCAGAGTGTGCAGCTTTTGACTTTTCTGCATGGGTGTCCGATACGGCGAAATTCCACGATTACATCATACTTGGTGTAGATCTGAGGCGGGAAGTGGCATGGTGTGTACAACTAAGCTGCAGTTGCGCAGAGAGAGAGAGAGAGAGAGAGAGAGAGAGAGAGAGAGAGAGAGAGAGAGAGAGAGAGAGAGAGAGAGAGAGAGAGAGAGAGATAGATAGATAGATAGATAGATAGAGAGAGAGAGAGAGAGATGGAGACCTGCTCGAATCCTGCTTGTATGCACCACACCACTAAAATGATGTAATCGCGGAATTTCGCCGTGACAGTAACCCATCAGAGCTGCACACTCGGGGTTTCATGCAATCTTGATTGGTGTGATTAACAGCAGAATTGCTCACCTGTTGCTAAGCTTGTGCCCTTCGCCGCAGCCACATTGGACTTGCTGGCAAACGTGAACGCGCTGCTCTGACTTGGATACTCTGACGGTTTGTCCACTGCGACCGTGGACTTTCCCTTGCTGAATATGGACATTGGTGATGTTCTATAGGAAGTACAAAATTAAAAATTAATCAAGGAAGAAAAAAAACTTTCAGGAAATTTACACACAGAGCATTGTTATACACAGAAGTTTAATATCAACATAATATATATCGTCTACCGTGTTCTTGTTTAATTTTTAAGATTGCCAACGCATGCATCTCTCTATCTCTCTCTCTCTATCTCTATTTCTATATCTCTTTCAATCTCTCTCTCCCTCTCTCCCTCTCTCTCTATTTCTCTATCTCTCTCTCTCTCTCTCTCTCTCTCTCTCTCTCTCTCTCTCTCTCTCTCTCTCTCTCTCTTCCTCGGGCCCCTGATCTCCACATGGGAAAATGGCGTCGCATAAACATGGACAGAAAACAATTCAAAACATTACAAACTTGGTGCTACCCAACCTTGAACTTACTGTGCACTGGTTTCTTCTTGTCGCACTTCATCCGCAGCACTGCTGCTCCTTGATGCCGACTGCAGCTCTGCTCGTAGTCGCTCCAACTCCTGACTCCGCTTCTGCAGCTCGTCTTGTTGATCGTACTTCTCTTGCTCTAGACTAGATCTGGTCGCCTCGGCAGCGGCTGCAGCAGCTCTCAGCTCCTTCACCTGTGTATGCAATCAGCGCACATGGAGGTCAATTAAGGCAAGACGAGAACATTTACTTCGTCCGACTTATTATAATGTGCGCTTCACTTCAAAACTCAAGCATATGTACAAAGGAGCACCTGTACTAAAAAATCAACCAAGAGACGATAGATAGATAACTAGTGGGTCGTTTCTTGGACTGACCTTCTAGTTTTCATCGCTGATGGTGTCTCAGTGCGCATCGGCAAGTGCTTCAACCTGCAAAACGTTGCCATTATTTTCATCTCCTCCAAGCTACGCTGCGCTTCCTTGATTTTTTCACGCCATAGGCACGATTTAGACGATCGGCTTCGCCTCCTCCTCGTGCAGTACGACTGCCAGAATGGTGGCTGTATGTGTTTTCGCCTGACGCTCCCACGACACCTTCGAATGAGGCGAACAACTACACCAACCACGCATAAAAAATCACTTCTCATCACTGTGTGCCGCGCGCATACTGAGTCTGATCTGTGTCGACATGTTATGCAGTCAGACCATGCGTGCTTTTCCCTGCCTGTTTCACGAATCCACTGGCCCCGGAGACTGGCGATCTTGTGACGGAGCTTTAGCATACTACTACTAGTAAGCTTGATGTAGCGAAGACGCATCGTGATCGCGGTTCCGAGGACTCCGCACCATTCACGCACGCATTGTATCCGCAGAATACTTCACCCTTTCTGAGCTTCAGTTTTTGAGCCAGGTTTTCGCCTGAAAGTCGACCTCAAGGGCAGATATTCATTTCGATCAACTTCTCAGCGATCTCTTCTGTGATCTTGTTTCGTCGCCCGCCACATCGTGAACGACTGCGAGAGAGATCAGCAAACTGGACGGAGCGATGCTGGTGCTTTCTGCACAAAGTTTCTGGATGACGCGTTTGCTGAAATTCTGCCAAGCAAAAAGCGATTGCAGCGATTTCAATCCGCCAGGAGGCACTCGAGAACGATCGCCCAGGAGTTTCTGGTACTTCGTGACAATTCCCCATCGCTATGGTTACACTTGGGGTGTTGGTTTCAGCACCAGGCCTTCTCTGTGTTGCGCGAGAAGCAACAGGGGTCCTCTGACGACAAAGTTTGGACGCAAAATGCTCGAGTCGACTAGGATCCTGAGGCGCTGCCTCCTTTGGAGTTGGAGCATTTCTTCTTCAACATCACAAATCGACAGCTGAAGGACGGTGTTAGGTAGCTGGAAAGTTTATTCCGTCCTGAGATTATTTGAATTTGTTTGGTTGACGTTCGAAGCGAAGCGCACATTTTAATAAGTCGGACCAAGTACTCATGCGAAGGCCAGGCATCAGAGCAAGTACATACACCTAACGTAAAGCTCCGGTACAACACACCTCCAAGTGACAGTCAACAATTTCCCGTAATGGTGCAACACGAACCGACGTGCAAGCCCAACACTCACCTCCTCGACGAGCTCCCCGACCCGTGTTGCATGCGCTGTGTGTTCTGTATCCAACCTGGCTTCCAGTGTGGACACCTTGCCTTGCAAGTCGTTCATTTCTCCGTCCGTCTCAGCAGCTGACATGGAATTTCTGCTGGTGTCATTCTCTAGGGTGCTTACTTTGACCAAAGCTCCGTCTAGTTTACTCTGGAGCGCGCTCAGCTCTTCATTGTGCTGCTCAGTGCACGCTCGGAGTGTCGCTTCTCCTTCCCTGATTGCCACAGCATGCTGGTCTCTCGCCATCTCAGCTTCTTGCAGAGCTGCTTGGAGATCAGCCAGCTGAGCAGACCGCGTGTGGAGCTCGTTCTGCAGACCCGATGCACTGGCTGCTTCAGTAGTACGAGCTAGTTCAAGACAGTTCTTGGTGTCCGTCAGTTCTTTCCGTGCTTCGGCAAGCTGGCTCTCGAGCGTAGTCGTACTCTCTTCCAGCTGAGCCTGCAGCTGGGTGCCGGTCCGTTCTGAGGCTTCCAGCTTTGCGTGCAGTTCCTTCAGCTGATCTGCAATGCTATCGTGTGCGTTCTGCAGCTGTTCCATATCATTCACCTGGTCCTGAAGCTCGCCGATTTGCATAGTGTACTCAGAAACTGACCGGCGGTTCTCCTTCTTCATTCGCTCCTTCTCACGCTCCAGTTCGGCGCGGGCAGCTTGCGAGTCGTTCTCTCCTTCCTCAGCCAGACTGTCTAGCATCTGCCGATTGGACTGGTGTTCTTTGGCGAGCTGCTCTCGTGTCTCGGTCAGCTCTCGCTCGCTCTCGGTGTGCGTGGCCTGCAATGATGCCAGCTCGTTGGTGAGCTCCTCAATCTGGCCGTCCCGGGCTGAGACATCGGCGTGCAGTTTCTGATGCAAGGCCTCCAGGCGCTGGCTTTCGGCCTGGTCGCGTTCCCTGCGCTGCTCCAGCTCTGACGTTGCCACAGCATTCGTTTCTTCAAGATGGGTGATCTACAGAATGTACAGAAGAAAGGCATAGAACGCTGGAAACATTGGGACTGGCATTTACCAAGTATGATGCATAGAGGAGTGTTCAGCGCCTAAAGAAAATCGTACCTCTTAAATTGCGTTCAATGATACGCAGTTCATGTAGTATGTATCATGAATTTGATACTGTGAGTATACGGAATTCTGCTACTCATTTAGATGCAACCGGGTCTTCAGGAAACACGATACCTGGACTGCTTGTATTGCAAACAAGAGTTGAACAAGGGCACAGCCATGTTGACAGGCATGCAAGTTGACTCGCAGTCTAGTATTCTGAATACTGGGATTACATGATTTATCGTGCATCCTCCCTGCAGACATCCCCACACATCTTTCCGAGGATTGGTGGTACCGCTCTTACCCTATTCTTGAGCTCTTCTTCGCTCTTTGCGTACTTGACCCTCATCTCCTCCATCTTGATGCCCGCATCACTTGCATTCGTTGACAGGTTTTCTAACCGACCGGTTGCTTCAGTATTCTCTTTGCCAAGCCTGTCAACCTCTGCAGAGAGTTCATTGACCTGAGGAATTGACAGGATATTATGTACACAGGAGCTCAGGATGACAGTGCAATTTACGACTGATTTTTTTGGAACATCCGTAAAACCATGATGTTTAGGCTTCTTCAAGCCTGAATTCATCAGAATATGCTATAGAACATCCGCCAAATCTGGGCCCTGATACACTACTAAAACTACATGTTTGTGTACCATCTTGACAAACTCTCCATGATTGCCCAGGATCGAGCAGCTTGGAGAGGCACGCGGCATAGCGAGTCGAGGAACAGCAGTGGAACCATGTGTTGCACCATACAAAATTTAATAATTATCATAATCATGTATTGTGAAACCTGGCTGGAAGATGATTTTTATCACGGCCCATGTTTTGGAGAAAAGATCAAAGAAATATTACTTGATGAGCATTCCGGACCGGGTTTCCGCACGACAGTGCCGCTGAATTAAATCTTATCAAGCAAGTAAATGCCATACAGGGCGCTGTGCAGCCCTAGACCTGCAAACACTGGGACGGTGAACTGGTGTAGGGCACAAACTTGATTAACGGCATCAGGTGTCATCAAGCAACACTGTAGATTATGCACTACCCTGACACTACTTGGGGACAATTTGCACTGCTCTCACCTTTGCCTGCAATGATGTAGTTTCTGCCCGGTGCTTTTCAGTCAACTCTCCGACCGCAGTCTCTCCTTGCTCTGTAACAGTAGCTAGCCTTGATACTAACTCGGACTTCTCATGCTTAAGGTCATCCACCGCGCTTGTGAGCTCTGTCACCTAACATTGACAGGACACAGTTTCAAGATCAAGAGGCAAGGAAAGCATAATCAAAGCAATTACAACACAGGAATCGGTCGTATCACTAATATGAGATTGGAGCAGTTGGAATCCAGTATAAATGTTTACGTCTTCCGGAGAAAATCCATGGGCGAGTAATAGCATTGGCAGCGTTGCTGCAAGTGGCACACACTGCAACAATGTCCCCCGGCCTCGGCATGTACCGGGTTAGGGTGCTAACACGTCATCACCGCTCTGCACCCCCCCCCCCCCGCCCAGGGTGCTTGTCTCAACCCTTCCAGAGTAGAAACATGGGATCTAAACAGAACAGCAAAGGGCAAGGCGAATGTGTCGTAGTTTGTTGCTCTGTGTAATTCGCTCCACTTTCGCGGTCCTGGCAGATACATGCACTCTGCGGCAAACTAGTCATTTTACACAATAGCAGATCAGCTGCCTTGGTACCCTGGTCATCGGGAGCCCCACGACATACTTCTGACATCAAAATGTGTTTGAACCTACCGCTAAAGATTGGCGCCCTGCGCACCATGGCAAGACAGAGAGTCAAAATAGATTGCCTGAAGATGCACGGTACGAAGAGGCACAGCATTACACACAAAAAACACGGAGCACCCTGAACAAAAGAAGGGACAGACCGGAGGGAAAGTCCCTAATTCACACTTGTTCGACTGTATACATGGTTGGCCCAAAGTGCACCGTTAAATGTTCAAACAACCTTACTTTGGTCTGAGCAGTGTCCGACTGGGATTTCAGCTGCTCTTGCAGCAGGGCGATCTCCTGCTGGTTTGTTTCATTGCTGCTCTCAAGTGTGGTCTTGAGCTCGTCACGGGAAGTGGTCAAGGTTGAGACTTGGGCAGTAAGCTCTGAGATCTGCAGGCACAGGCCCAGGCCACGCAAACACCCAAGACCGATCAACAGGAAATATGCCCACACCTCGGTTATCCCGGCGTAACAAACAAGGGAGCGAGTAGAGAGACAGGGGGGGGGGGGGGGGAGATACTTGATCTTCCTGAAAGGTGTGCTGCAATCTGCAGCTGGGTCTTGTCTCTATATCGACAATCATGGTGGAAGTGCTTGCTCAAGGCTTGCATGTCTGGCGTGCACACCATGCAGAGTCGGACATACATGCATCCAGCATGCACCAATATCACTACAGTCATTTCCACTGAACCATGACCTAGAATGGTCGTACATACCTTATCCTCCAGACCAACGCTCTTCCGTTGAAGCTCAGAGCACCTGTGCTTCTCCTCGTCGAGTTGCTCAAAGTGCTCTTCCTGTTGCTGCCTGCACTGCTGCTGGGCTTTCTGAGCGGCTGCTTTGGCGCTGGTCAGGTCGGTTTGAAGATGAGAAACCTGCATCTCGAGGGTCTGCCGGCAATGGCGATGTTCACCGAGCTCCTGCTCCAACTTTGAGACGAGAGCCGCATCGATGGTTGCTTCCTGTGACGTCGCGTCGCGGGACGACGATGGCTGGGACTGGCTGTTCACGGGTGTGGCAACATGAGCCTGTGCCATCTCCTGTGTCCTAGTGTTGTCAGACATGGGTGCATTCGCAGCAAGAGGAGTCGACGACGTGTTATCTTCACCTGTGCTATTTTGCTGCGTGGTAGGCGAAGGACTGCGTTCTGCAGGCACTTCACCCGGCCGATCAGATTCTGATGCAGCAACTGATTGTTTACTTTGACTCGGATCCGCCACGTCCTCTAGTGTGTCCCAGTCATCGCTTGTCGGTGACGTCATGGAGTCCGTATCCGTGACGACGGGCACGCCATGTGCCACTGTGGATGGTGACGATGCACCAGTGCCCTGTCTTCTCCGACTCGTGGACAGGGTTTCACGGCGGGACGGCTGAGCGCGTGGACGGAAAGAGGTGCACGTGCATGCACAAACACGACAAAACAAAACCATGTTAGCCACCGAGCAGGCACGCACACAGACACAGACAAACACACACACACCGTGTACCACGTATACGCCCGTCGCAAGAGAAGCAATCACATATGCAAATGTACCGTATGTGCACCCACAGATTTTCTATTATGGAAACGTAGCGAACAAGATCTGAATGAGACAGATCAAGAGTTGCGCCAGATAACTGTCTAATCCACACAACTGGCGAAGCCATGTGAATCGACCTCCCAATGCACACCTGGTCTACACCACATGGAGTACATCGACATAAAACGGCCAAGACAGTTACCTATGCACACCCTACACTTGCTGGGGTACACACACATAAACACACACACCTCAGACCTCAGACATGCCCATCGCGAGAGCGATGATAGCGAACAGCTATGTTAGACATAGCAACTTGTGCTGGGATTACACCATTCAACAGCTTGCAAGGCTGATGAATTGACCGCCACTATTTTTAGCCTGGTATCCACCACACAGCTGTTTGAAGTGACTTTTTCTGGCCAGTGAATCCCTATTTTTCATTTTCCATTTTCTTCTTCTTTTTTTCACACACACACACACACACACACACACAAACACACACACATACATACACACACGCACAAGCAAAGAGAAACTCACAAACCGACTTTCACAAGCACACATGCAAACTATGTTACTATCAAGAACAAGCACATGCACACAGACCTTGACAGTCCCTTCCCCAATATGACCGAGTCTTACTTCGGAAGCCATGCTCCTTGCTCGAAGCTTAGCAATCTGACTGCTTCCACGTGCACGCGGTGTGTCTTCGATGCTTCCAGCGGTCGACGATAGCGATTTCTTTTGCTCCTCGATGCTGCTTCCTGTGGAGGAATTGGAAGACGTGGAGCCCTTCCTTGCAGCTACCGGGGGAGGTCTGGTGACTTCCGATGCAGTCTCTGTCGATAGCTGCGTGTTCAATGCCTGAGTGACACACAGCAAACGAGACCAGATATTGCTCAGGGACGTAGCTCTCATATCTCTGGTGTGGTAAGTTGGTAACCATGTACCACTGGCAACCTGGGCCTATTAAGCCGAAAATTTGTTGCCGCAGTGTGACAGCAGCACAGCCCGAAATGTTAATGCTGCCGAAATGCGTTCTAGTCTTGGGAGGCCGAAATTTGGCTGGGCCGAAAATTTGTCGACTAGTAGTCAGCACTTTGCCTATTTTCACTATGTAGTCGCTATGAAGGCTATTTGCTGATGTTGTGATCGGACTACACTGACAGTACACGGACTAGGCGCCTGCACCTCATATACGGCTACCACCAGGCTCTGGTTAACATGGCCAAACATCAAAAAACAGTCTTCACTAGATCATAATTTGCTAAATGCCTGGGGCAAGAGCTCGCTAATATCGAAATCAAAGTGGCAGATTAGAACTAAACGTATCATGCCAGGCAATCATCATGCAAAATCACCGGTCATCTTATTAAGTAAACATTCAGCAGGAAACTTGGACGTGCAACTGCTAGATACTGTTGTGACATGTATTTATGCCGCAATATTGGAAAGTCTGAAAAGCTGATTGGAAGTGGACCCATCCTATGTCTTGTATTCCTCATCCTCTTCCTACCTCTCTCCTACCCTCCTACTCCCCCCCCCCCCCCCCTGCGTCATGCACACGCATTCACGATAATACGGAATATCACAGGGAAAGGTTTCCTGAGACACGAGACAGTACCTCCATCCAGCCGTCGATCTCCTCCTTGCTCTCCGCCTTGATGTAGTAGGTGCGTGATGCCGTGGCCAGCGCAATGCAGTTGAACTGCTTTGCCTCGCCATCGCCATCCCGGATCGACGAGCAGTCGTGAAGGTTTATGTCACCCAGTGCTTTCTTGGGATATGTCTGGAAGCAGCAAGAGGCAGAAAAAACGGGTGAGAACTATGCATGTGTCAGTGGATCTATCCGGTAGAACCAAACTTATCACACTGTCGGATACACGCGCTCTCATTTCTCCTTATTCAGCCATGAAAAAGTTATAAAGAGGTGTATTTTGCTGACTGATGATCGTAGTAACACGAGAAACTTAGAGTTGCGACACAGCTTCCAATCTCTATTTGTCTAAAGAGATGTATATGGACTTTATGGACATAAGCCACTTGTTCTGTGGTTATACAAGTCCACGTGTTGATACCTCTCTATTCTGATACCTCATGCAATATATTCCTAGTCCCCAAGAGGAGTACATTCCATGTGCTTGTGTGTTTGTGCGCGTGCTTGAGAGTGCGTGAGGTTCCGTGCATGTGTGGATCTGTGTGTGTGTGTGTGTATGTGTGTGTGTGTGTGTGTGTGTGTGAATGTGCATGTGAGCGTGTGTGTGTGTTTGTGCGTGTGAGTGAGTGTGTGTGTGTGTGTATGTGTGTTTGTGCGTGCAGGTGTGTGTCTGTATAATGTGGGAGCCTACTTTGTTGGGCTCTTGATTTAACGCTGTCCAATGCCACCATCAGATTGCTGTCTCCTTCGCCAATAGCTATGCCATGCTCTTGGAGCCAAAATTATTCAATCACTGAAAGACGTACATTTGTCTGGCCGTCCTCTCAAGCAGCGGTGCCTACTCTCACCTTTTCGCTCTCGTAGTAGGAGAGTGTAGCATCAGACGTCAGCACAAACCATCGCTTCTTCCATTGCTACACATTCAAAACAGGGAGCAGAACACACAGAGAGCAAGATGCATGGAACAAGCAATACTTCATTTATGACTGGACACCAAGATAGTGGTGCAACGGTGTTTGCGGTAAATCAATTCCGGGCATCCTCGTCCGGTCTTATGGCTGCTCAAGTCTGACATACCACGTATTCGTGCATCAGAAGTATTTGTAATTTGTGTTCATGGACTCTCCACAGGCCTTAGCCTAACTCAAAGGGGTCTCAAGTAAGGCACGATATTCTAACATGTAATAATCCAGTCTCCCCGAAGGCGTGGGTTCGAATCCCACCGCTGCCACCAGTGTTAGCTCCCGGCTAAACGCAATCCCCTCACACTTGCAGAACACAGGGGGTTTATAGTATTGAAAATGGAAGAAGTATTTAGACAAGAGAGCAGACAAGAGTGAAAAGGATAGAGAACAGAGAACCACTGGAGCATGCGCTCTTCTGTACTCGATGGAATCGCATTGCTATGGTGAAGGAGCGGGAAATACGAATAGTGAGTACAGAGTCTTATTGCACAGTCACAATGTGCAATGCAATATGCATTACATACCCTACACCGGTTCTATTCTACTGACAATGAGCACCACATCACTAAACTGTTACTATACAGTAAACCTGTCAAGGCAACCACTCGGATAAGGCAACCACCTGTCCTAGAAGACCACTGAAACCAGGATCATGGCCTGCTATTTCCAGTCACATGACCCTGGATAATGAGACCACCTGGTAACAGAGACCACGTCTTGAACATCCCTTGAGTGGTCGTCTTAGACAGGTTTCAGTGTACGTGGGATTTGACATGCCTTGCGGTGGTCTCACCTTGGACCCGAACTTTGCGTTGAGGTCTGGCGGGGCTTTAGTTAGGTATCCGTCCTTGACAACCTACAACACACACGAGAGAAATTGCGACACACAAACATTGCCACCATACTGCAGGCCAGGTGGAACCGGTCCGGTTGGTCGGGCCATGATCGGACTAACTCTTTGGCCACCAGCGTGTGTTTACTGCTGATGAGGCTACAGGCACTGAAGCTACTGGACCAATCAAAAACCGCTTTCGGGGTCCTGTCAGTGGCCATAAGTGGATTGAGCCATGGGAGCTATCAAAAGCGAGTGCTGTACTGACCATATACAAGTAGATGCGGGAGTATATAGTGCTGCTCAATTAAATCAGATCATGTGAGTTGATTGCACGACTGGCGTGGTGCAGACCCCAGTGCAGGGCGCAACTTGACTCATGCATTCCGATTTCATTGAGCAGCACTGCACATGCACATACTGTGGTGTGTGTGTGTGTGTGTGCGTGTGTGTGTGTGTGTGTGTGTGTGTGTGTGTGTGTGTGTGTGTGTTAGCCCTTTACTGTCCGTACATACAAGCATCGATCCAATGGGATCGATGGGGTAGGCATTTTGAAATTATCGTAACTTGCTCAAATCTAGGTCTTTTGGAGAGATCGAAATATGTAGGTCGAAGAGAAAAGCCTCAGCTGTCGCCTCGAACAATTCGCAAAGCGATACGAAGAGCGGTTGCTGAGTTATCGCACTCGTAATTCTGGTCCCGGGAAATGTGCGTTCAGAGCGCGACGCGCATGTCGACGGCTGGGATTTTCCCTGTTTACGTCACCTGTTGGCAAGGCTACACCGATTCAAATTCAAAAGTAGGTTCCCGGGAGTCTCTACGAAAATATTTGAGCTCGATACGAGCAACAGGGGTGACATGGTGGATTGAGATCGATCTCGAGCGTGAGCTCAGCGCTTTTGCGCGTTCCCTGGCTTGCAGCGCTGGACCAGTGCATCCTGTGGCGCCGAGTGTGGGCTCATTGCGTTCGTCTCGTCAAGACCTTTCCAGGATGCCCAAGATCGTGGAAATCGTCAAATTCAAACCAAAGTTACGTCTAATTTTAGTTTCAGATTTTGTGGTTGCGTGGGCTTGTATACATTTTAATCGGACAGTAAAGGGTTAATATTGTTGACTTTGCGATTTCTCTCTCTTCTCTTCTCTCTTCTTGTCGTTGTCTCCCGCTTCTGGGAGCGGCGTGGCCCGATAGGGTAGCTGTACAGGGGCGGATCCAGACCCCAAAGCTGAGGGGTGCGAGGATGAAACTTACATAATAATATTATGTGTGGCCCAATATCTGAGAAAATCGACCTTCGGGGCTGTTTTGGTGAAATTGATTTTTTTGTTGCAAATTGATGTCTAGCCTTTGTTGAGTATTGTCACTTCGTTTCACGGCCATCAGACCAATATTGACCATGTAGAAATCCATTTTACAGTCAGGAGTCATGTTAATGAATTGTTCTTTTTTTTACAATTTTGAAAGATCAGTGTGTTTGGAGCCACCAAAAATTGTTTCCGTGTGATATCAATAGCCAACTAATATAGTAAAGTGTTTTGACTGTTCAGGTACTTCATTTCCAGCATTCCGTGACTTTATTGAGGTTGTGTAGTTTCAACAGCAGCAATAGCAGCATTAGAAGGAGAGGTGATTTATCTGTTCTCCTGGTGATGGACATGCTTGACAGGATAGTCTGCAATAGATTTTGACGGAACACCATGATACATGTAACAGCTGCATTCACATACTTATTGTGAAGGAGTCAAACAGAGCCAATGCGTCCAGATTCGCTTTGTCACACTTTGTGGAGACTGACCATTTCCAAACATCAGTAACACAGCCTGACAAGCGTTTCACATCACCAACTCAAAAGTAACAGAATGTTACTAGTACTCGAGATTGCCCAGCCTCACGTGCTCCGTGATGGTCTGATTCGCCATTATTGGCTCGAGTATCGAGCTTGCCATCCAAAACATTTTAGGATCATCGTCGCAAAGAAAACTCGCATCATTTCGTGCTGTTTTAGCAGGTCTGGCGTGAAACTCAGGAAACAGTTCTGCCACCCGAGCAAGGGCGGCCAGCGACCTTGCAAGCGGCGTACCCTCAGGAATTCACTTGGTTGTCCTTGCCTGGAGCTGTAGCAGCTATCGCTGAGGCAGACTGTGGTTGGCCTTGATCATACTCATCCAGGCCAAGTCCTCATCATCGTCGCCCCCGACAGGTAAGTACCGCGTGTCACTTGCGATCGATTCGACTTACATGCGCTCTCAGAACTAGAAGCGCTGTCGCCGCTTGACAGGATATCCACAAAGAACGATGCATCACCGTCCATGGGATCGCGGCTGCTGTGCTCCGTGAGCCCAATAACCAACTGACACAAGAATCGCCTTCCATTTCCTTCCGCCATTGTCGTCTCTGCACTTTGCTTCGACAGATTCGATTTTTTTGCGAACAAATTTGTTTTTAGTGTTTTCTCAAAAAAACCGCGTAGCCCCGAAGGTCGAAAGTCTCAGATATCGGGCCTTTTGCAGTAGTAAACCAAAGACATAGTATGTTATGTGTGTTACTGTATAATATCATAATTACACATAGCACCAAGATGAGTAGTATGATTAGTTACACATTGAATGTCAAAATTTACAAGTAATTTACGACTGCTACCGGTATGATTCTCAGTCAGACACAGATTATGCTATGTTACTGTACATGCTATAATTATACACAATCAAGAGTACATAACCCCCCCCCCCCCCGGGGGGGGGGGGTTATGTACTCTTGACACAATGTCAACTCTAGTCAGGGCGGCTGTTCAGTTCCTCACTCCGCATCCTGGAGAATGTTGGTCATCCTCATCTTCCGTGGGTGCTTGAGGGCGAACATGTCGACGATGTCAGTGACATCAACAGCCAAGTCGTAGCGGATGTGGAGTAGAGCTAGCGCTCACACTCGCAAGACGTGATCGGCATCACAGCTAGAATGGCTAGTGTGGCGAAAAAAAAGTTCTATTCCAAATGTGCAGCCCTGGCGCGAGCACGTGTCCAGAACGATCACGTGATTGCACACAAATCATCCGCGGATCCGCGCAGCGAGCCTGGGCCTGGCTTTTTGTTGTTGTTTTTTTTTGGAAAAATCCTGACGGGTTCATTTGCACCCTTCGCACCCCCCTGGATCCGCCCCTGCTGTACATAGTAGTAGTAGTAGTAGTAGTAGTAGTAGTAGTAGTAGTAGTAGTAGTATGTGTGTGTGTGTGTGTGTGTGTGTGTGTGTGCGTGTGTGTGTGTGTGTGTGTGTGTGTGCGTGTGTGTGTGTGCGTGCGTGCGTGCGTGTGTGTGTGTGTGTGTGTGTGTGTGTGTGTGCGCGTGTGTGTGTGTGTGTGTGTGTGTGTGTGTGTGCGTGTGCGTGCGTGTGTGTGTGCGTGCGTGCGTGCGCGTGTGTGTGTGTGTGTGTGTGTGTGCGTGTGTGCGTGCGTGTGCGTGCGTGCGTGCGTGCGTGTGTGTGTGTGTGATTTAGCCCTATGAATTGCACTTATAGCATTATGGGATATGTAGTACGTCATGCATGCTGCGATGTTATTCATTGCTTACCGTTCGCTCGCCAACTGACGAGGTACTGCGTTGCTTCAGAGCAGACGTCCCGTCTCCTCCACCAGCACCACCCACGCCGTGCTGATCTTTACTCTTGTAACAAGTCTGACATGTGTTCTTCTTGAAGAGATTCGGCTTGAATTCCTTGCACGCTCCGCCACTCATCCTGCTTACGCCTATGGGATGGTTCCGAGTTGGATAACTCGAAATATAATGGTGTATACGACCGTAGATCTGCTAGTGATCGAGCACCCAGCGCACGGTACAAGTACAAGTGTCTAGCACCGATTGAATTGATTCTACGCTGTGAAAACTGCTAAAGATTCACAAAATTATGTCGTAGGCTGATTCCCAAGGCGCGGTGGGCCAAGACAAGGAGCTGCACAAAATAATCGGCAGCTGTCTTTGCACGCTTCATTGGTCCGCGGCGGCTGGGAAACGACACTGGACAGCAGATGACGTCCGAATCGGAGAGTATGGATTTCGACACACGGCTTATTCCTACTGAGTACTACTACTACTTTGAAGCACTCACGGAAAAATGTCGACCTGTCGAATGCATACTGATAGTGATACGGAACGAAAGGCGAAACCAGCTCGTCCCTAGCTGCCGCAAAGCTCGAGCTGCATACGTCCCTGTGCCAGCTGTTACTGATCTAGCCGGACTCGACACTAGCACTAAAGCCAGACAGTCTGTTCTCTGCCTTTTTACGGCGCATGCTATGCTGTGCATAGTCAAGTCACGCTTTGCCCATGTTGACACACGGCATGCCTGCCTCCCCGCCTCCATACTACATGTAGCATCCATGGCTTCGCGTAACAACGTTGTTACCTCGTAACGTTGTTCACGGTTGAGGATTATGTGCAGTAAAGACTACCGGTAAGGCCACCCTTTGTTAATTCATTGTTTAACGTCCTTTTTTTCGCGAAAAGGTACGCGGGAGGGCGGAAAAAAAACAAAAGCCCATTCCAAAAACTGGAAACCCCAATCAAACATTTTGACCCGTAAAGCATATACAATATTTCTGGGTCTAACGGCACTTGCAGGCATAGAACAACACTCTTTGATGGTACATTGGAGCACATGCCTGATGAATCCAACAAAACAGGTACATAGCATGGAGTTAGCATGTCATGAATTCATTACATCTGGATTTTTACTAGGACACACACCGTACGATATTTAAAAGCCAACAAAAAAAGAAAAAAGAACACAAGACAAAGGCATGCCCGGGAGGCAAGATTATAAGTTTAATTAAGGTCATGATCGGCACACTGTGAAACTACACAATCATGTATTTACAACTTCGCATATTATTGGTACTACTACTTTCTTGTTTTTTTTTCCGGTCGGAGGCAAAAAGGTACGCGGGCGCGGACGTTAAACAACGAAAAAAGAAAGGGTGGCCTAATGTGCCAGTGGAGATGGTCGGAATCTCTGTCGCAGTATTTTGTAGTGATGGTGCACACCGGCATAAATGTACCGCTTCTGTACGAAATAATTGCAATGCAGAACACATTCTGCTTGAACTATTCCGTGAGGTACATTCTATTTCTGTCAATATGCATTGTTTCCCGATGCGGATAAACCCAGGGAGTGTTTGCCGATGCGCGCGTGTGTGTGTGCGTGTGTGTGTGTGCGTGTGTGTGTGTGTGGGTACGTGTGGGTGCGCGTGTGTGTGTGATACTCTTCGACTCACTTTAGAATTCAATTCCTCAATAGCTAAGTAAATAATTACATGCAGTTTGCCGGTTCCTTCCAGAGTTTACTTATGCTGGCAAGGAAACACCAACAGACCGATGTCCTCGGTGATGGTCTTTTACAGGAAGCCCTGGGATCATTTTGTCATGCTCATTGCATGACACAGTAACTGTGCTGATAATGGGTTGACTTCGGACAGCGGCAAGAAGGTCCTTCCAGTGGTCCGCCCCAACATGCAAGAGACACACGTACAAGAGAAGATTAGTACAGTGGTCCCTCTATAATCCGGCACCATTTGTGCCACGAAAATCTGCTGGATAAGGGAGGGTGCTGGATTAACAAATCTGATTTACTGCTGCAATGTGCATGAAGAGGACATTTTGGCTACTGAAAATTGTGCTGGTTTATCGAGGGTGCTGGATTATAAAGTGCCGGATTAGAGAGGGACGACTGTAATACATTTTTATGTGTACGTTCCATGCATAGTCTGAGAGTGATGCAAGTACAGTGGAACCTGTGTAAGACGACCACTCATGGGACCTTCAAAACGTAGTATTTGTTACCAGGTGGTCTCCTTATACAGGCCTGTATTACAGGGTCATTTCACTGGAAATAGCATCCCTTGGTCCTGGTTCCGGTGGTCTTCTAGGACAGGTGGTCGCCTTATCCGAGTGGTCGCCTTGACAGGTTTTACTGTAGTGATTGCTGGCAACGACAGACACGCTGATACAGATCAAGTGTGAGCACTGAGCAGCTGGGTGCATGATGAATCAGCATAATTATGACTCATGAGACATTGTGCAAGTCACTGATTGCCCTGCAGCTGAAAACACAAAGACATAGTACAGTCAACTTCGCTTATAACGACACTCGGCGGGGCATCAGAAAAGTGTCCTTATTCGCGAAGTGTTGTTATACCCGAAGTCTCATTATATGTATTACAGTTGGATGGGACTTTGCTCGGGGCATGGAAATTCTGTCGTTATTCGCGAATTGTCGTTATATCCGCAGTCGTTATAAGCGAAGTTGACTGTAGCCTAAATACAATCGTGTACAGTACATGTACATGTGTAAACTTTCCAGTTGCTTTTGTCAACGCATCTCATATTGGGTTATTATTGGAAAGACTCCAATGTTGGCTGCACCAAACCAGGATGTGCCGGCGAGGTACGGTTTAGTATTACAGTCGTCCCTCTCTAATCCGGCACTTTATAATCCAGCACCCTCGATAAACCAGCACAATTTTCAGTAGCCAAAATGTCCTCTTCATGTACATTGCAGCAGTAAATCAGATTTGTTAATCCAGCACCCTCCCTAATCCAGCAGATTTTCGTGGCACAAATGGTGCCGGATTATAGAGGGACCACTGTAGTATTATTATCAAATGTTTACTAGGGCTATCCCCACAGGCCTGTAAGGTCAATATGTCACATGGTATGGTATAGTATGGTATCGACTTGAACTCAAAAGTCACGAGTGCATGATGTACAACTAACAAAGAACAGTGCAGACCTGAGTCTGAAAGCTGAGAGTTTATGAAGCCATGCGGCTACAAAGCGATCAGTAGCATTGTGCATGTGTGCGTCTAGATATCTATGCCGTTCAGAGAAAATGCTGGTATACAATCATGTATGTATGTTGCCGTGGATTTTTGGACTGGAGGCTAGCAATTTAGGCCATATCGCACGCATACAATCCGAAGCCAGTGTAAGTCCTAGGTGGCGGACTTTTAAAGGATAGAAGGGGTGGCTACAGGTAGTACAGTGAAAAATTCGCATCTCGAGAAAGATCATTATCTTGCAAGACAGAACATGTGTAAATTGATATGATTGTTCCATGCAAGTACAGCAAACTGGGTCCACCAGGGAGTGGCACGATATGATTCACTGGACCTTTCGTACTCAATGGTACATACATGTACATATTTCCCTTGACACTGGACAGCTTTAGACATTTTCCGGCAACTTCCAAATTAGAGTAAAGAGCAGCGAGGAAACCAGCAACATGTAGCATTGTGTCTATGCCACTATCCACTTGCGTGTGTACCTTCTATCTCCGAAGACTTTGGCGCTTGATCCATGCAGGTTAGTTCCATCCTTTCCAGGCGAATGTGTTCATAACGCCACTCTCCTTCATCCCTCCCGTTCTGTTGCTGTCACACACCGCCTTGCCGGGGCTGGTCTGCTTTAGACGGTCGACCAGCGCCTCCACCTCCTCGGCGGGGAGCTTTTGTCCGCCCTTGACCGTGGTCTGATCGATTTCTTTCTCCGCGGCACGTGTGATGGGTTGATGGAGGCGCTCGCTGATTGCGTCCACCTCCTCGGCCGTCATCTTCTGGTATCCCAGACCGGAATCAGGCTTGAGAACGGTACCCCACGTTTGGTTGTTACCCCACGTTGCACAGCTGCTTGACTTTTCCATTCCGCTCTCCACCGTCGGCTGAATACCGTTGCCTCCTGCGTTGGCTATGGCCAATCGAATCGGGTGTTACGGGCAGGTGCAGCTATAAAAAGACTGTGAACTCCGCTTGTGCCTGTGCTGACCAGCTCTGGATGAAGCCGATCTTCGATCAAGGCTGCTAGGGCGTAGGATATCGGGCCAGAGCTGTGTCACGGGAGTCAGATTTCTCTAGGTGTTCTGGACCCTACCGACTGGCATAATCACAAGCGGCCTCCGTGCGATGCTCAATGTCGTCAAACACACTCCAGTAGCGACGAAATCAACCTGCGAACCTCAGCGATCCTTGCCTTTTGTTTACACAGCCATTCATTATCTCCACACCCACAAGCTGGGTATGTACATGTGTGGTCCACAGCTTACGGTGAAGCGTGGAGTCATAGCCCTGCTGAGTTACCCGTGCGGGTCCTGGCATCCCAGTTCAGGACTTCGAGACAACTGTCCGGTCTGGTGACCTACCGCCAACTGCATCATGCCTGGTAGACGGAGCCTGAAATGTCGAAGTTTGGATCAAACCCTGGTTCTGAGACATCCGCATCGCCTAGCTGTACGGAATCACAGCTTCCATAGCTAGTATAGGCTGTCAGCATACTAGCGACTGGTGGTATGCAGTGCGGAGCACATGACGCTTTGCGGGCCTGACTTTGTCCCATGTATCACGTGATGCGATCTAATATACCAGACAGTACGTCCTCCCTCTTGTTACATGCTATCAACCAAACAACGTAGTATCCTTTTCTACCTGGACTCCTCCTTGGTTTCCCTTTTCTCTCTAGCTCTTCTCTTGAACCTTCTTGCTATTATTCACTTAAATGTGGGGCTTTGAATAAAACAAGTCGACATCAGGATGCATGCTCCCGGACCGGCTTCTAGCACATACATGTGTATGCCATTGTGCTCCTTTTTTTCTTAAGCCTCTGAGTCTTATACGGGCAATCACAGAACATGATTTCACTGGCCTGACCGCGGCAACAACTGCAAAGCAAAGCAAAACAAAAAATGTAAATAAAAATAAAATGAAACTTTACAATCTGCACACAATGATAACTCCATTTTTGAGATAGTCTCTGTTGATCAGTCAGTATCCGTTACCCGTGTTAGCTAGTTGCCAACAAGGCGGGCTTCAGCAACAGGAACATCTGGAGAGGCGTCATCCATCCCCCTATGCCAGGGAAATGGTGAGCGAGCCCCCCGCAGACACATGATGTTAGCACGCAGCAAAGCAAAGGCCAGCCGGCTCCGGATAAGCGAGATATGGGTATGATACCCAACTGATCCACGCTCCTCCATAAGGACAGCCAGCCGCCGATAGAAAGCAGTAGCAGCACGGCCCATATCACCAGTTGTTGCCAGGACAAGTGGAGTGAAACTCGACATCTCCACCTCTCGTACTCGTTCACCATAATGGCGTCGCTTCTCAGCTTCGTGCTTGTTGAAGGCAGATTGGATGTGGGCCGACCGGTTCGAAGCGGCATATGGGTTGAATACCCTTACATCAAAAAAGCAGCGTTCAAACCGTCCGCCCCACACCCCGCCTGCCACAATGTCAAGCCGTGCCTGGTCAGTTGATATTGCCGTCCGATGGCGAAACTGCTCACCAGTGACCGGCTGAAGATGAGGCTCCACCGCAACGTTATTGGCCACTCTCCGGAGCATGCTGGCGGTGACGTCACGTACCTCATTGTGGCGCAATGTTGGAAAGCCACCCTTTGGACAAGATAATGCGTGGCAGAGATCGAAACTGGCCCCACAGGCACAGCTACTGCCATTGTGCTCCTACCCTCCACCCCTGACCACCCATGCATCTTCAACTGGACTCCCATCCTATTCTCCACACATCCTCACAGTTCACAATACAATGTAATACAATCATGTACATATCACTACTACTAGTAGTCCCCTCAGGGCTGCTGGCCCTCGTCCCCAGGACCTCATGCAATGTTGGGTTGGTGGGGCTTGTTCATAGCTTGGGCATGTCCGAGAACCGGTTTAGCGCCAGACGCTACCACAAAGTCATAAGAAAGATGTCGATCACTCTCCTGTTCAGAGTTGTTCTCTTCCTGTTATGTCGACATGGCGCGTCTTTCTGCTTCCCAATACCATGCAATGTCGTGTCTCCTATTGAATGGGTGAATATACCGATAATGATACTTACCAACATAACAACCGGTACATATTTTGCAACAGTCGCTTGACCTTCGCCTTGCAAGCTTGGCTTCAGGTCGATGGATTTTTGCTTCTTTTTTTTCTGGGTTCAAAGTGGACCGCCTCTTGTACGGGCAAAACTTCAATGCTATCACTGCATGAAGATAACAACCAAGAGCTAGAAAATACCGATAACGAGCGAGACGAAAGAGCAAGAACCAGAACTAACAGTTTTTTTACTGACATTTTCAAGGCAATTTTCAACGAACTTGATGTGAGTCTTATGTGACAGCTGGATATTTGCCGTACACTAGGCCGGCGGCAAACAGTCACGGGGCATAGCTACACAAAAGTACTGTGACGTCACAATGTGGCGCAGCGAAACCCGGCGCAGGTTCAGAGTGACGGAACAGAACACGAACGTTTCTTTTCCTCTTTTTCGAAATGAAAAAGAAGTTCAGCAGGTCAGGTTCATTGATTTTGATTTTGTCCGATTGCTACATGCAGTGTCTTTGAAGTCTTTCGCTGTGGATCACGGTTTCAATCAATTATGAAGCGAAGCAAGGAAGCGGGGAAGGAGAGTAAAGATGCGAAAGGCTCAAGCAAGGAAAAAGCGAAAAAAAGGTTCGTCTAACTGGACTTGCGAGTGTGTCTGTCCGGACGTAGTTTCTGGGTGTGGGCCTGTGCAAGTTCAGTAGTGGTACAGTTAGTTGTGCGCTTCACAATGTTCGTTGTGATCGTTATGCATTCTTGTCTGTACTGTATTGCTAGTACTCACCTTGTGTTCTGTTGCACGGCAATGTTTTTACGCTGTTCACGACAGGGGTCTGGGTCATTTGTTTTCATTTATTTTTTATTAATTCAACTCAATATCATAGCATCAATAGTGCATAAACAAGAGTATGCAACTGTGGTTATGGGTCCGCACGCGGTGCGTTGCCTTCATTACGTAATTTGCTTCTTTCACGCTCTGAAAGTATGCACTCAAACCCATTGCCATCACAAACTTACCTGGCCGTGCCTCGCTCGCCGTTGAGAGCAACATCGCTCCAGAATCGTTGTCGGGTGGCTCCGTAAGGTTGTGCGCGTGCGCCGCGCTGTGCTGCCGTCACTCAGTTACGTAGAGAGTTGATGGCCTAAATATTCGTCTCTGGGAGACTTTCGACGCGGGGACTCTCTCTCCACATCTTTCCCACCGTAAGCACCGTGCGTCGCCAGCGAACTGCTTTCATACTCACACACAGAACTGCTCTCATACTCACACACAGAACTGCTCTCATACTCACACACAGAACTGCTCTCATACTCACACACAGAACTGCTCTCATACTCACACACAGAACTGCTCTCATACTCACACACAGAACTGCTCTCATACTCACACACAGAACTGCTCTCATACTCACACACAGAACTGCTCTCATACTCACACACAGAACTGCTCTCATACTCACACACAGAACTGCTCTCATACTCACACACAGAACTGCTCTCATACTCACACACAGAACTGCTCTCATACTCACACAGCCTCCGTGTACCAAGAGTAGTAGCATATCGGGAAAAAGAAAAAAATTCAGTTCGAATATTCGTCACCTCACGAACGTCCGTTCTGCGAAGCTGAACGAACGAATATTCGGGATATTCGTTTCAGCCCTACCTTTTAGACACTCTCCATTGTCGGTTTCTATGTACTAGCTAGCACCTAGAGCACGACCCCAGTATTCCACCCCCCTCCCACCGCGCACGCGCGCGCGCACACACACGCACACACACACACACACACACACACACACACACAAAGTCACTTGAAAATGTGCAGGCCCGGTTTTAATGTTTGCTTGAGGGCGTGAAAAGAGAAAAGTCTGAAGAAAAAATTGACTGTCACCGCTGTGACTCGAGCCAGGGTGCCAGGGACCTTCCTTTCTAGTATAACCAGCCATGGCCACATTCTTGTTATGATTTTGACTTTCTCCCGTGGATGTATTCAGCTCAGCACCTGCCAATGGCAGACAGCCAGAATCCCCATACGGCATGCTACGGTATGCAGCGAGGTTTCTGTTTGTCCTAGCTGCCATCTACATTTCGTCGCGGAGTGCTCGAACGGAGAGTACCCATTTAGCAGCTTCGGATACGTATCGACTTCGGCGCATGAACGTTTCGTGTTCGAAGGACTACGAGAAATTCCCAGGTACTAGTATTTGTGTGTGTGTGTGCGCGTGCAGGCGTGTGTGTGCATGCGTGCAGGCGGGCGTCTACGTGTGTGCATGTGTATGTTTGGGTGGGGGGGGGGGGGGGGTATGTACATGTGTGTGTGTGTTTGTGTATGCATGCACACAGGAGCACACTGTTCTGCATGTGTATTGATTTGCGCACAGGGATGGATGTGCTTGTAATGTTGGCTGTGATATAGGCTGTGCAACATATCATATTGTGTACCGTATGCATGAAGTGTGTTATGTAATGGATATACTACTGGTAGTTTTCCCGTTACTGTAAGACCAGATATTTTAACATCAATTGTTACGTTAACGATCTGCGGATTTTTGTGGGTTAGCAAAGTGAAATTCTAACGAATTCCGTCTCAAAACCGGCAAATGGCTGTACATGTACATATCGTTTTGTACATAACGACTTCGAATGTTAGCGAATTTTGCGAAATGACTGTTCAGCTTGTTTCGTTTATCGCAATTCTAGAATTTATAAAACTAGTTAAATCTTCACTAGTTTGAGGGAAAGACACATTAGATTAGTGAAATCGTTAGAATTAAATGTTCGTTAACATTACTTGTCTTCCAGTACACACCATGCTCTCTCCAAGCATCAAATATATTATTTTGAATCATACAAGGAGGCGACTGTTGGATATTCTTCTGTAGCGTGTGTTGTATTCTTATTTCTTACCAATGCCAAGACTTCTTGCCAAGAGGACTTGATCTCCTTGAGTGTGCAACTCCCGCATACCTCGCTGTCCCGGCAGAACTTCAAGTTGACGTCATCGTTTTAATGCAAGGCTTCTCACGAAAAATGCGATCGAGTCCCCCAACTAAGCCAGATTTTGAGCAGTCAGACTTGCACAATCTAGCACAAAGCTGACAAGGAGTACTGAGATATGTTTCTATGTTACAATTTTTCCTTGGCTCAACATCCGACTTCTCTCACGAGTTATATATAAGTTGTTTGTACCCAGTGGCAGCGCATCGCATGTGGTCCTTGCACTAATTTGCGCTGGATCAAACATGGATTTGTCCATCACGGGTCTAAGATACGTCTGATAGGACTTGTGCAACGCGCATTGCACCATAAAAGTGACGTTGAAATTCTGTTGGGACGGCAGTCACGGCACCCACTGTGGAGTTGCACACTCTTGGGGGTTATGTACTCTGACCAATGCTGTAACTATCTCTGCATCTAGTGCTTCTCTCTTCACTTGGTGCACTGGGCATACATTGCGTTCGAGACCCCACGTCGACTAAAACGCGATGTACAATATCACTTCTGCAACGCGATGAGCGACGAGCGATGCGATCGAGAGTTTTTTCTGCAAAATGTTGAATCGCAGGTTGTCGCAGCTCCGTCGCAGGTCGCATCGCGGGAAGTTGAGCCTAGTTCAACTTCTGCAACGAACGATGAGCGATGCGCATCACTTTCTACATCACAGACCCACGTGACAGGTCGCGTGCAGTCATGGACTGTGCGTGCCCTGCAGTATTTCGCTGCGATATGCCGTGCATTGTGCATCGAAGACTCTTCACGCGATTCGAAAAAGACTTTCGCTCGACGCTCATTGCATCGCAGAAGTGATATTGTGCATCGCGCTTTAGTGTGCTCAGCTCCACCACCATGACACTCCCTTATTCATCATAATTATCACAAAGTGTTTGTATGGAAGTTCGTAAAAAAAGTGCTTGACTGTTGTCCCTATTCTTATCATCAGGATATCTTCTCTTGCTTGTGTTCTCCTTCTGTTGCTCAACCTTGTCTCTAGGCTGTTCGCCACAAGCATGCGGTAGAGTGGTGATGGACAAGTTTGTCCGTGATGAGGAGATCGAGGGCCTGATCGAGTAAGTTGCAGAATGTGTGGAATTATATGCGTGCGTGTATGTGTGCCTGGGTACATGTGTGCCTGGGTACACGCGTGCCTGGGTACATGCATGCCTAGGTACATGCGCCCAGGGTGTATGTGTGCCTGGGTACGTGTGTGCCTGGGTACATGCATGCCTGGGTACAAGTGTGCCTGGGTACGTGTGTGCCTGGGTACGTGTGTGCCTGGGTACGTGTGTGCCTGGGTACGTGTGTGCCTGGGTACAAGTGTGCCTGGGTACGTGTATCCCTGGGTACATGTGTGCCTGGGTACGTGTGTGCCTGGGTACGTGTGTGCCTGGGTGCATGTGTGCCTGGGTACGTGTATCCCTGGGTACATGTTTGCCTGGGTACGTGTGTGCCTGGGTACGTGTGTGCCTGCGTACGTGTGTGCCTGGGTACGTGTGTGCCTGGGTGCATGTGTGCCTGCGTACGTGCGTGCCTTGGTATCGGGTGCGTACAAAACATAATTGCGTCCTTAAAAACTGCGAACAAACAATGCTGAACCTTGACTCGTTTTGATTTGAAGTTTCTTTTTGGTTTGCTTTTGAAAATCATACTTTACACATGTATAATTTCCTGATTTCTTCACCAGTTTCGCATTTCATCTATCCATTGTGTTTGTTTGTCTGTAAAAGAGGTTGTTCTTATCACTGAACCTTGACCTCATTGTTGTTTGTTGTGTTGTTGTTGTTCTACAGGATAGCAGAACGAGGCATGTCTCACGGTGGTTCTGATGGCGGGGTAAGGGAAGTGTGCATGCACATCTGTGCCGTGAATATCTCCGACCCTGGTCTGATCACGCTGATCAGCGGTTTGATCTGCGTGCCAGCGGACGGAAGATGCACGCTGGCTATCCGGCAAACTCCGGATGCAGTATTTGCCCCATTTTTGTGCACATTTTCGATGCCCAATCTCAGGGTCGAAGTGCAGGTTGTTGTTGTGTGCACTCTTGCCAGACACCGTAGAATTTCCCTTATGGGGGACAGGCTGGGACCAGGCACTGCCCCTAACTAGGAATTTCCCCTTACTTAGAACATACATACTTGTTTTTTAGGTACGTAAACATTTTTCCGATTTTTTGTGTCAATCCATAGTTTGGGGACCATTTTTCGTGGAGTTGTCAATTTTGTGACTCTAGACGGATTCGAAGCGTGCCCTGTAGACGAGAGTGTGTGTGTGCCTGGATCTGGCGAGTCCGGGTCAGGGAGTTTTACTGTACTCGAAGTACATTGAAATCTGTCATAGGAAGATGTGCTTGGAGTGGTGCAAGTTGTCTCAAGGAGTGGGGGTGGGAAGCTAGCCCTTAGCTTAGACCCCAGCATTACAATTATATTTCATCACATTGTCGGGGAGTTTTAAGTAGGCTTCAAGTTGGGATAGAGGTCTGTGTTGATGCTGCACCATCATTGATGTTCGCGTTGTTGTTTGTCATTCTCTGCACCTGTTTCAGGCTACGATTCTAGATCTGCATTCTGGTGCTGTATCCAGAGGCAAAGAATTCATCAACGTCTATAAGTACGCTCTGACGTAATACGATATAATTATGTGTGTGTGTGTGTGTGTGTGTGTGTGTGCGTGTGTGAGTGTGTTTGTGTGTGTGTGTGTGTGTGTGTGTGTGTGTGTGTGTGTGTGTGCGTGTTTGTTTGTGTGTGTGTGTGTGTGTGTGTGTGTGTGTGTGTGTGTGTGTGTGTGTGTGTGTGTGTGTGTGTGCACGTGTGTGCGTGCGTGTGTGTTTTTGATTGTTGTAACCCCATGCATCATCGCATGACCTTTCTCGTAATATTGCCACGGCTGGACATCGTCCTCATCTCCGGGGTTGCTCCCCTTATTAGGGTTGCTTGCATATGCTATGAGATTGAGATTGAGTAAATAAGTGAATATACATAAGAGAGATTTGAAGCTGTGTCGCTCTGCCCTATTATGGGTATTGAGCACTCTTCGGACAGTGAAGCACGCGACTTGATTGCATAAATAAATGAATACCGGTGCAAATAAATATGTGATCCCATCTCATTGCAGCTGAAATGCACCATCTTGAGAACTTTGAGGCTCTGCTTGTTTGCGTAGCTGTGCAGGATTTCAGCCGTGGACTGTACCCGTTCTGTGTCTCGTCTTTTCTAAAGGAACTCTAAGCAAAGCGTCATTTTAACGACAGCTATAGTAACAGCCAATGAGAATGATTTTTGTGGTTGTTTGACGTTGTTTACTGCAGGGCAACGAAAGGAGCCATCTTTACCAAGGAGGATTTTGCCCTATACAAGTAAGCCAAAAGAACTGAGTGGATACGTCTCACTTTGAAGTTCATCTGAACTGCATACATGCCCGGCTGTTCTGGATGCCCGGGACAGTCTAGAGAAGGGGGTGATTGTCCCAGGTCCATGGGGTGATTGTCCCAGGTCCATGGGGCGATTGTCCCAGGTCCATGGGGTGATTGTCCTGGGTACATGGGGGTGATTGCCATGGGTCGAGGTCCATTGTGTGATTGCCCTGGGTCCATGGAATAATATAGCTGATATGACCTACAGGAATGAGCCAGAGCACGCTAGAATATGACCACAGACCAAAAATTCGATTTTCAGTTTTTTGTTCAAAAATGATCAAACACACCTAATGTTCACTGTCTGAAAGTTTTGGATCGATCGGACATGTCTAAGTGTTGCTACAATGGTATTATATGCAGCACTGTTGGAATGGTGAAATTCTATGTACAGCAATGGGATTGTCATTTTTGCACACAGTTGATATGTCCCTTGGTTCATCCTTTCCGGGTCAGTTCCTCTGTCCAGGGTCTTATAGCATGAGCTGACAGGTACTCGGCCTCATCCAAATTCCTATAGGCAGCTGAGCTGGGTGGTCGAAATACCTCCTGTTTGGAGCACCACTGGAGAACCGCCAGCGAAAACATGGTCAACATCTGTAGATGCCCGAAGAAGTTGGCACTCCACGTCCTCTCCATCACACTCTACCTGTACTTTCAGATATACAGTATACACTGCTGCACACAGTCTTCCTCAACATAATCGACGTTGCACTCATATTTTCCCACATCAAAGCACATCTACACACGGTTTTCTCCGCTCACCAGAGAGTACTGCTTTCGCTGCCTACTGCTCGTGCTAGCGATGTTCCGCATAAGGGTACTCAAATTATCGACTTGAGCAAGTTGAGGGAGCAGCAGAGTCCATTGATTGTTTTTGCACTTGCAACCAATATTGGCATTGTCCCGGATATGTGCAGCGATGTCCATTCTGGCCAAATCATCGGCCGACTCACCTCCCAAGTCAGTGTCGATGCTTGCCAGGTTGTCATCAGAGTAGAATTCCTCGTCACTGCAGATCGTGGGACTACCAGCATCAATTCTTTTACGCTCGACGAAAGTGTCGCCCTCAAATGACTCGTCGCTGTAGCCATCATCGTCTTCCTTCTGTTTCCGACCCGAATCCTCAAAATATTTTATCCTGCGCATGGAGTGCGAGGATGTCGTCTTCTTCCGCTCCGCAGTACATTACTACTAGGCTCTTCCGTCGATACATCGATGACGATCAGTTTTAGGCGACTCAGCGCAACATGGAATACAAACTCAAACAAATAAACTTACTTGCAACAAAGAAATGCATCCGGAACAGTCCAGTCGACCGAGGAGAACAACAACAGCGACTCGCGATGCACTGCACTTCGTATTTTTTGCCGTTGAATTCAAATCGCGATTATCTCGACTTTTTCAAAAAAAGCTGTGGTCATGTTTTAGCGCGCTCTGGCTCAGGTATTGGAGGGTCTGGTCACGTCTGGAGCTCCACAATATCATTTGCTCGAATAGGCCCGAAGGCTTTCGTGTATGCAGACTTTGACAGTAGCTTATTAGTCAGTTACCGTTTTATCTCTAATATAAGAACAGTCCTTTATTTTTTCAATGTACCTCCGCCCCGTGCTATTAATGGAGACGTTCCTTTATTGGAGACTGTTCCATTATTATTTCAACCTCATTTCAGAGGCATGTTGCCATGCCAAATTCATGTCAGACGCACACATTTCAGGGTTTTTTCGCCGGTACTGCATTTTAGAGATAATACGGTACATGCATTTTACCAGGTACCGATAGACAGTGTGCTTATAATGGAGACTGAGCACTCTATTTTTTTGAATGCCGCCCCAAGGTGTTCTATTATTGGAGACGTGCTATTATTGGAGACTGTGCTTATATTAGAGATAATACGGTATGATGGCACCGTGCCGTCCTTAGGCATACGCGCATGTGTGCGTGTGTGTCTGTGCATGTGTGTGTGTGCGCGCGTGCATGCGTGTGTGTGTGCATACATGTGTGTGCATGTGTGTGTGTGTGTGTGTAAGTGTGTGTGTTTGTGTCTGAGTCTGTCTGTGTGTCTGTGTGTGTGTGTTTGTGTGTGCATGTGTGTGTGCGTGTGTGTGTGTGTGTGTGCGTGTGCGTGCGTGCGTGCGTGTGTATGCATGTGTGCCGTGGCTTGGCCGCGCTGGTTGCAGGACTATCAAGAACCGCGTCAAGAAAGCCGTGGAACTTGAATTCAAAGTTCCGGCAAAGAAGCTCTACCTAACCCACCCGACCTTCTTCTCTCGAATGACTGACCGGCCGGCTGCCACATCTCATGACGAATACTGGCATCCACATATCGATCGAGTGAGTTACCTTGAACTGCCTAATGTTTAACCCTTTCCCTGCCAAGCCTTGATCCGGGGTGCTGGCCACGTCATGGTGAACACAAACTCACAATGTACTCACCTGCATGCTCGGGTTCAGAACTAAATTTATTTTATTGTCACTTCGCATTAGACATGGTTAGCATTTTACCGTGCACGCTGTTTTCGACGGTTGGCGTGTAGAGGGCGAGTCTACTGTTTTTTCGTTGTGTATTTTCGAGACACGGTTAGCAGTTCGGCTTCTGAGTCCTGACTGCTGACGCAACGATCGACTTGTGACGTAACCCTAGTTGGAAACTTACCGTTTCGTTCTCCCGCTAAACAGAGCTTTCCATTGTCGAAACGGTACCAAACGGTACCAAACCGACGGTATTTTGGGTGTTGGGTACGAGTACCATTGGATCTAGCGCGTGAACGGTAAAAAATGCGAACCATGTCTATTGACGGATTTTCACGATCTATGGCTTGTTGGAAAGATCTGGATCTGACGAAGACACCACGATAGTTTCCAGGTCAAAAGACATGCCAGGAAGACTGCTATATTTTCTCCACGTCCCCCTACCATGCCTCAATTACAAAACAACATCTCGCGTTTTCTATCGTCTCCTTACTCACCTCAAAGGATTTTCACGATTCAAACTGCAAAGGAAAGCCGAGATTCAAGCGCTTCTGTTGATACCCAATACGCATGCGTTGCTCTCAAGGGAAATCCCCAGCATGCACGAAGTGACGAGCAAAAAGTTGTAGTCGATCGCCGGCAGGTGAAATTTAAAATTTCCAGCCGTCATACATTGGCCTACCGCAAAGATCGTTGTATCAGTGAAAAGCTGAGTCCAATACTTTTCCAACGATGCATCATGCGTGAGAATCCCTTGCCGTTTGAGTGAATTACGAAAGTTTGAACGCTCGTCTATATGCCGTGATGTGTAGCACACTGTGCACTTTGGGTGCGTCGCGTATACCGGTACTCGACGCTGGCCAACCAGGGTACATTCTGAGCGTCGCGTATGTGCAAGGGGGTGAGTGGGTTGAGAGCAACACTGGCTCACACTCAATCACTGATTTTCACAAATTCATTTCAGAAAAAATTCAATTCTACGTTTCGGTCATAAAATAACACTCTGACATCAGGAGGGCCTAATGTTTGCAGTGTATTAATCTTTGCTATTTTGTGAGAAGAACATGACGTGAATATTACCCACCGTGACATCAAACTTCAACAGTGGGTGTATGTGTGTGCCCACAGTTCTCCGCGAACATCTTCCATCGTAAACTCGCTCGTTTTGAGCAACCGCGAAAATTTAGAGACGCGAATATTGGATGGTTTACGGTAGTCAATACTGAGTCAACAGTCAGCCCTGCTTGCTCCTCACAGTAGTCAACAGTCAGCCCTGCTCGCATTGCCCACAGTAGTCAATAGTCAGCCCTGCTCGCATTGCCCACAGTAGTAGTTGCTTGTGGTCAGCGTAGCTACTGACGCATGCCCCTCTGTATTTCTAATGCTTAGATATTGTCGTTCATGACCCTTTTCACCAATATGCATGATGTGTGTGTGTGTGTTGTTGTTGTTGTTGTTTCTTTATTTTGTGTGTGTGTGTGTGTCCCCTCCCATTGCTCACGACGAGAGATACCGAGAATTGTGCGAATACACTGATGGTGAAAGGTGTCAAGTCGGCGAATATGACCAGCTTTGATGGGCCATGCCTCC